TATTTAATTGTTATATCAAGATTCTGGTATGATCCTGTATATTTCATTGTTTTATCATGATTCTGGTATGATCCTGTATATTTAATTGTTTTATCAAGATTCTGGTATGATCCTGTATATTTCATTGTTGTATCAAGATTCTGGTATGATCCTGTATATTTTTACATCAAAAGATATCTCTAGCTGAATGATTGTATGTCATCTATAAAAAGGTTACGAAACTAACCATTCAACATTAAGACTTTCCCAGCTTTCCCATCATGCCATGTTGATCGTAAAAATCATGAATTTATTGCCATGTCATTTTTTTCTTTAAGATTAAGGAAAATTTCCAAATAATAATCTGAAGTTCTTCAATCAACATAATTAGTTGTAAAATAATGTATTGATCAGATATGATGCTTAGCTGGTTTGTGGGGATTATTATATAATATCCAATCCCTTTGATATCAGCTGTTTGATGTTATTGTTTTGAGGATGGTTTTAGAGGCAAGGCAGTGAAAGCACAGCTCTTACAGGACCGATTTATTATAACTTCCTTATGTTTCAAATACAATCAAATATGTTTGAAAGACGATCTCTGCTAAGAGACCACTTTAAAAGCTCCTCATTGAACTTATAATAACTGAGCCTGTATCTAGAGACCACCTGTGTTTATAAACCAGCTATATTAAGAGACCACCTCTGATAACATACCACCTGTATGAAGAGACCACCTGTATGAAGAGACCACCTGTGATAACAGACCACCTGTATGAAGAGACCACCTGTGATAACAGACCACCTATATAAAGAGACCACCTGTGATAACAGACCACCTGTATGAAGAGACCACCTGTGATAACAGACCACCTATATGAAGAGACCACCTGTGATAACAGACCACCTCTATCTAGAGACCACCTGTGATAAAAGACCACCTATATGAAGAGACCACCTGTGATAACAGACCACCTATATGAAGAGACCACCTGTGATAGCAAACCACCTATATGAAGAGACCACCTGTGATAACAGACCACCTATATGAAGAGACCACTTGTGATAACAAACCACATATATGAAGAGACCACCGGTGATAACAGACCACTTATATGAAGAGACCACCTGTGATAACAGACCATCTGTATGAAGAGACCACCTGTATCTAGAGACCACCTGTGATAACAGACCACCTATATGAAGAGACCACCTGTGATAACAAACCACCTATATGAAGAGACCACCTGTATTAAAAGACCTGATTTTTAAACTTTTCCATGAGTTATTTCTATATTAACTAAAACTGTAGTAAGTGATCACCTGTAGTTACAGACAAATAACCTGTATATTGAGACCACCTGTGATAACAGACCACATGTATTAAGTGACTACCTGTATGTAGAGACCACCTGTATTAAGAGACCACCTGCATTAAAAGACCACATGTATTAAGAGACCACCTGTATTAAGTGACCACATGTATTAAGAAACCACCTGTATTAAGTAACCACTTTATTGGAGGCACAGTAGTCCAGTGGTAGGATGCCGGGCTCGTAACCTGAAAGGTTGCGGGTTCGCGCCACGGCATGGCAAGGCAATGTGTGGTATCTTTGAGCAAGATTCTTTACTCAGCTTGTTCCAGTCTACTCAGCTGTAAATGAGTACGTGGTTGGGCAGTGCTAGAATTGTTGAATGCTAGCTGTTAGCGCTGAAATAGCAGCTCCGGCTGTATGCTCCCCAGGGAGTTGACAAATGTATCGACTGGTTGCATAGGCCCTATAACCACGAATAATTATTTGTGAACCGCTTTGAGACGACCTACAAACTAGGATGTGATAAAGCGGTATATAAGAACCTCCAATTCTTATTATTATTATTGACTTCTGGAAGGTGGTTTTTGAATACAGGTTTGAGTACCATATATAATGACTTCACAAACGTGTAATGAATAATTTTGATATGTCTTAGAATATATACTTACATATAATAAAGTGCTATACTGAACAATGGCATAATATACCTGATATATAATGTATCTTAGAGTAGATAGAGTACTCATTACCAACAAATTGCTACCTAACAGAAGGATGGTGCCAGATATTTGGCCACACAGTATGTTGATGATTTATTGAATTAAGCTATAGGTATGTCTGGAATGTGTATTATATATACATCTTTATATACCTAGGTCTATCACTTATTTTATTAAGAGGTGGAAGTTGTGTAGAATTACATAAATCATCATTTTTTTTACCTTTTTTAGAAAGTGGGTCATAAATTTTGAATAATGTGCTTGTTAATTATATAATATATGTACCCCTTAAAGCCTTTTGGTAAGTGGTTTTTACAACATTAACCAGCTTTACAGTGTTTGTAGAAACTTCTATGAGGTTTAATTCTACTATCAAGTGGACACCCTGTGTACCAATTAATAACCAGGTTCCAGCACGCATCCTATTCATTATGGACCCAGCCATCTTCATTGGACCGACGTTGGCACTTTCTGTCTTTTTAAATTATACGTTGTTATGAAGGGAAGCTTTTATTTAGTAACAAAGTTTTTTCTTATCATCTTTCATCTTTCATCAGTTAGTTTCATGATTTTTTAATTACATTTTTTCATGATAAGACTTTTACCTGTTAATATATAATTATCATGCTGAACAATGTTTTGTATACTTGTGTTTGCTAACTCGAGTTCATGTGTATATGATGTCAGATTATGCTAGATGTGAGAGATATATAATTCAGAGGTTTATTTGATTACAAAGTTCTGGAGGAAACCTAGTAGTCTTCAACCCATTCACCCCTAAAGTCACATTTGAACTGCACCAAATCAGTGGCTAGACAAGTCCAGTTTAAATATGTAGGGGTAAATTAGTTAAGGGATTGTAGCAATGATCCCTGAGGCTTCTCTTTATATCTGTAGGCAACAGGTGCTTGCTGTAGTTCTCTTTATGGTCTGGCTAAGAATATGTAGTCTTATATATTTTGCAGTGCTCAACATTTATTAAAAGGCTGGATATGAGTTCAATACCATGCAGGCTATAGTTGGCTAAGTTCTAGCATTTGACTGTACTCACAATTTGATGTATGCATGCAGGTGCAGCACATTGTTGGCCTTACTCATGCATGGTGTTTGAATGTACATACAATCTAAGGTATGGTTCAGCTGTTCTGATGGACTTAGATATTTGACCATGTTCTCCCAACTTGATATATAATGGTAAGATACAGATTCATCACGAGCACTTTATTTATTTTACACAACTATGAAATAAGTCATTTCTACTTATATTAATCACTCTTGTTGGCCCAGATTTTTTTCCTTAATGTGGTCGGGCAAGTGACCCCATACATTTGAATTGAACCTCGGCCGCCTTGGTAAAAGGCGAGCGCGTTACCCAATGCACCACCCAACCAGGACTTAGGTGTATACAATATGTAACCTTAACTTATTCACCCCTGAAGTTTCATAAATGTACATGTCTTCAGGGGTGAATGAGTTAAAGCTTGGTTCCCAATGGTGTTTGACAATACTTTACTACTCAAAAAGATACAATGTACCATGGGTATTTAACAGTATCAAAGAGATTCTGAAGTTTCCACAAATACCAGGCCCGAAATCATCACCTCTGTACACGTTGTCATTGTCAATGCAAAAACATAAAAATAATCACAGAAAAAATGTATTCCAGCACAAAAGAAAAACTGTGCAAGGTGAACTGTTGGTTGGATTAGGTATATGTGTAGTAAGTAAATCATGGCTAACAGCCTAACACATTGGGATAGATCCTCTACTAGAGTTAGCTCACTGAGTTATGAGAGGAACCACAACAGCAGACACATGTATGCAAACATGAGAGATGTTCCAACCTGATAGAAGTATAATTAGTTAGCAGTTGTTTATACATGATGGATAAGGGATCCCAATATCTAGCCCCTCACCCCCCTAATTCCATGTACCCTAAACCACCCCCAAAATGTTATGGCTAATGAAGCCCTTCGAACAATGAGTGCTTTATATGCGAAATTTTTATTTTATATTACAAATCTATTTTACTGTTACTTAAACATTTTACTTGAGATTGTATTTTTGCTAAGATTATTTACGCCGACAATAGTATGAAAAGAAATAACCTTTTAAAAGGATTTCGTTTTTTATGGACAATCCATTTTGGCAGTCAGATCTTAATTCTAGCAGTAATACAAATGTACATCCTTTTTGCACTGAAGACTATAGGAATGGTATTTTATTGTGCAATTTTCCTTTCATTGATATTCCTGACTGTTAAAGTTTGTTAAGTTGTCAAACATCATTTGATATAAGGACTTCACTGGAGCAGTACAACTTTTAATCATTTTGAATCAAAGCTCAGAAATTTTGATGCACAGAATTATTGCTGAAGCTGTATAATTATCGAACATAGACTTTTGAGTTATTATCTCATTAAGCAGAATCTTAATTGTTTTGTGGTGGTAAATCCTTGTTGTATACCGACAGTGTTTTGAGCAACTTACGGCTACATGCACGATTATTATCGATGTTGAAATTAACAACAGCTGAGGAAAGGACTTCTCCAGTCCCTTATGCATAATGTACAGATGCTATCATTTCTGCTGAAATGCAATAAAAACTGCATACAAAATATCTATTAAGAGTGTGATATACTTCCACCTAATGGTTAATATTTCCAACTCCTTTATCCTCCCAAATCCAATCAAAAACAATTTTCCTGGCCTCCTCTTCCATCTAAATTGCAAAACATGTGTTAATTTTGGAAAGTGAAATAGCACATCTAAATTTCTTTTTAACACTTTTGATTAACCAAACAATGAATTTTTTGAGATATTGGAAATTTCTATTTGTAGAATATAAAAACAATTCAATCAGTTTTAAAAAAGAGAAACATTTGAGATTTTGGAAACAATTAACACCCAAACTTATTGAACAAGTATTTGAGAAAAACGTTTGACGTTCATAAATGTGTGAAAAGGATGCAGTTGGTTTATCTTACCTGAGATAGAAAATGCAAACTAGAAAATGTCAACCAATGGTAAAATCCAGAGGACAATTGAGATTGTTTAAGCACTGATCCTAGAATGGCACTTCCTGTAGTAGTTTTGTGATAAGATAGATCTGCACCATTTCCTTTGGACAATAATGGCTTCAGACTCCCATAATAATACTTCCGGTCCATAGCAGATGTTAGGTATTCCCTGGACACTCCGTTACATGGAATGACCACTCATTGGTGTGAAGTACAACTCCTGTGGTCAAGTGGTCATTGATGTATTGATTAAAATGACCACTGCTTTACATACCGAGTATCAATGACAATAAATGACCACTGCTTTACATACCGAGTATCAATGACAATAACACATCAGTAGCTTACAAAAGGCACTGTGAAATCAGACGTGTACGTAAATCGTTCAGATCCTTTCATTCCATGGAAAGTATCCAGCAGTGATCTCTTGCTTATAGAACTGTACGTCTTTTTCTTTGTAATAAAAATATTTTTTTTTGTTTTGTTTTTACAATCCTTTGATAAAAAGCTGATTGTGAGTCAACATTCTGATTAAATAGTAAAGAAATTGCACTAATGCACTTCAGTTGGTAATCAATTATGATCAACCTTTTTTTTGCTATTAAAACTCTGAAATTTCCAATATCTTTTTCATGTTTTGTTGCAACAAATTATCACACTTCTTTGGTAAGGATCACAGATCAGAAAATGGTCACTCTCCAGGAAGGTTGTTATACACTGTAATGTTGAGATTACCTTTCTTGGGACGTGAAGCTAAGTGTAATTTCTATGTATCTTGTCTCAATAGGCAATCAAATCTTGCTTTCTGATATCAGTGTAGGTGGGTAAAAAAATATCAATCATTGGGCATCAGCCCTTCTGTAATACTTTAATCTTTAACAGTTTTCAAATGATATTTTCTGTTATTAGTCAATTTATTAATGAATTTGTTTTTGTCACTTTTCATTGTCAAGTTTTTTTCCTCGCTTTATCACCTAAATAAATGAACCAAATAATTATTTTTAAGATAGTGTTAATTTTTCCTCACATTTCCTGGTATAAACAGTTGTAAATATTTCCTTCATTTCTGCACTATAAATCAATTAAGCTCCAAATCCAACACAAACATCATACTTTAACCAATAAGCTCCCGCCAGTAAGCTCCAATTGAACCCTGACCAACAGCTAATAAGCTCCAATGGCACTCATCAACAATAATTTAACAAGCTCCAATGTTGCTGAACAATGATAAAATAATAAAGCTTCCTCGAATGGATCCCAGGTAAGCTAAGCTCTAGCCAATGAGCTCTGTACAATGACTTACATGATCAGTAAGCCTTGAGAAGTGAGCCCCTGGCTAATGTAAGCCCAGGGAGGTAGTTTGACAAGGCATACTGGTACTGATGGAGCCTAGAGACTGTGAACACTGGCATACTCTGAAGAGTACACAAAGCTAACATAGGAGAAGTGTTTACGTCAGGACTAATTGATATGTACATCCCCTGCTGAGACTGGTGTTGGTAGGGAAGCCTTGTAGTAATAGGAGGGTCGGTCCTGTAACCAGTGGGAGGGTCCAGCATTGTACTCAGGTGCCCCTCCTCTCTAACAGCAATCTCAGACAATGAGCATGATGTAGGAGAAAGACCGTAACCAATAGTGTGTATGATGTATTTGTTCTAAAGACATATTACTTGTGAGGCGGTAGTTATTATTCCACATGGTTAAGCAAAACTTTTTATTGGAGCCAATTGATTCCTGCTGCTAGCTTTGTGTATCTAGTGATGGATTCGGACAGGCAGAATCTCTTCTGAGCTGCTACGATAAGTCTGGGTATAGACCAGTGTTTATGATAGACAGAATAAGCTGCAAGGAGTTAAGACAGTATATTAACGTTTAGGGTTAAAATAGCATGTACATGTATCAAGGTTAAGACAGTATACAGGTGTAGACTTTAGACAATAAATATAGGTGTTGGGTTTAGAGAGTATGTGAAGGGTATAGACAGTATATATAGGTGTAGTGTTTAGAGAGTATATATAGGTGAAGGGTTTAGACAGTATATAAAGGTGTAGGGTTTAGACAGTATATAAAGGTGTAGGGTTTAGACAGTATATATAAAGGTGTAGGGTTTAGAGATTATATATAGGTGTAGGGTTTAGACAGTAAATATAAAGGTGTAGGGTTTAGACAGTATATATAGGTGTAGGGTTTAGACAGTAAATATAAAGGTGTAGGGTTTAGACAGTAAATATAAAGGTGTAGGTTTAGAGAGTATATAAAGGTGAAGGGTATAGACAGTATATAAAGGTGTAGGGTTTAGAGAATATATAAAGGTGTAGGGTCTAGACAGTATATAAAAGTTTAGGGTTTAGACATTATATAAATGTATAGGGTTTAGAGAGTATATAAAGGTGAAGGGTTTAGACAGTATATAAAGGTGTAGGGTTTAGACAGTATATAAAGGTGTGGGTTTTAGATAGTATGCATATTTATGTTTGTGTTGTCAAATGTGATGCATTAGAACTTGGCGTCAAAGAATATTTGTGTGGCAGAATATACCAATATTTTCAATAAATTGATGCTTCTATTCTCATGGAGTTATCTATAGTATTCAACAGTACATCATTAGATATCCACTATGTAAGCTATAGGTTGTAGTACTAAGAAGAAGAGAGCGGCATTCCAGATGATTGCAAGATCATCACTGCTAACTTTCTAGGGAATTACCCAAGATATTTTGGTTTAGACTTTTACCTTGACATTTAAACAAATAGCATCTATCAATACTTATAACGAAATCTAAACCCAAGACTAGTGCTGTCACAACAGGTACTTAGGTCTGTATGTCTATGACGTCAGAACACAGCTGTACTTATCTCATTTTAGGGGGGTCACAGAGAAATCTCACATGGAATATTAATACGGGATTAGTCACAAAATCTATGTTTAAAACAGAGAGAAATAGTCAAAATTCACATGAACCTGTATAGATTGCTATGAGTTAAAATTGAATTCCTCTTTTTTTGTTGGCTTATTTTAAACAAACTCTGTAAGGTTTTAAAAGACGTGTCTTTATAACTTTACAAAAAACATTTTGTAAAATAATGTTTACCTACCTAACTATTAGATTATAATCTTTTGAGCTATTTAAGAAAATCCTAGGAAATCATTTACCTTTAAAACGTATTCAAATACATCCATAGCCTATTTTCATATACAAGTGTATTACACCCCATGCATATGTGTCCTTGCTTTGATCAAAGTACACCTACAAAGCCACTCTATTTTTTCGTAATACTTGCAACTCTGGGCCGAATAATTTACAGTTCTATGACATAATTTGTGTAAGAGTTGTCTCCCCTGTTGTCTCCCCTATTTCATTTATTAAAGTGTCTCCCCTATTTCATTTGACTGATAAGCAGTGTATCACCAGTTTTCATATTTATGTTATTTATACCATTAGATTGTAGATTCAGTATAATATCACAAAAAGTGCAATACTTTCAACCATGTAGCAGTGTTTGGTCTGGCCAAGGAAATCTGTATTGGACCTCAGCTTTGCTCGAGTCTGTTATATTATTATACCATCTAATATATATACTCATAAACTGCTTTATAGCCCTCTTGCAACCCTATACAATACATGTTATGTACAATCTTTACATTAATATATTTAATTAAGGTTTAAAATATGTTGTATGATTTTTTCTATGGTAAAGCAATTTGTTACATATCAAAAAAATGACAGCATTCGCAAAAGCTCTTTGTTCCCGCTTTGCATACATTTTAAGCTCAAATTACTTTTAAGATTTGTAACAACTTTGGTATCAGCAATTCTCTCCTATTCAGAAATCAATGTACCATTAATTTGGTTAGAAACTGTTGCCATGGAAACCTGACAGTGAAAAAAACCCACCTGAAAATATATACAGTAGATTTCACTTAATATCACTTCTGATTTGTCAGGTGAAAATGTGATATTAACCGGAATATGACATTAAGAGAAAACATGTTTTTCTGACTATTTCAGATGTCAAAACCTGGAAATGACCGTATTTAAATGTCCAAGTGATATGGTATTAAAAAGAAGATCGTTGGATAAAAATATTTGTAATTGACACAACTTTTCTTTATTAACAGTGAAGTGATCGCGTTTTATTTGTTTTTTTCATTGAAATATGCAGCTAAAATACTTGCTCAATTCCGGCAGTGCTCTACGATCGTACGTCATCAAATAAGCCTAGAGGCTAGATTGACCTGTAGTTGCCGTCGGCCGCTAGTCTATATTCTGCTCCGAATTAATATTAGTCGTAAAGAATGTCATGTTAGTACAAATTTACCTTAATCTTATCAAAGCTTTGATTTTGAAAACATCTTAGTAAATTCTTAGATCATTCAATCATGTGTCCCAAGTTTGAAGTTTACATCGTTTTCTGAGAATGCAGAGAATGTGAAAAAGCTACAAAGTGATGAACTGTAATCTTTTGTAACATGTCGTTTCATTGGATGAAACATCATTGCATATTTTTATCGACCAATCAGATGCCGTGAAACACAGGATGTGTTTTGATGAAATCTGTTTCTACAACTGAAGTCTTAATTTATTGGTCCAGGGATAGGTGTGGGTTCTGTAAGCAGACATAATTACATTTGGCATTATTTTTTAACTTTTCCTTGTTCCTAAAGCAGTATAGTTTTTTAAAAACACTGAAACCTGGATGTCAGATGGATCAAGATCTTATAACCAAAGCACTGTCAGAGTTTGTTAATTGTTATCTTTTTATGAAAACTGGATCAGGAATTTTCCTACCGAATACTTCAAATTTCCACTGCAAGTATTTCACCTGTTTTCAAAAACTTTTCAAAATATTTGATCTTGATACATGTGCATTAAGGGTCACAGGTGTTAGATTTGCTGAAATATGTTTACAATTTCTGTCAATGAACCATGAGGCCAGGAGTAATGATATTTTACCTGTAGTGGGTGAAGAATTATCAGGTTCGTTCAAATAAATTATCTTGATCCATATTCAAGGTCACAGGGGCTAAGTGCATACAATTAATACATGGAGTGGTCCATCATAGATTGACAAATTGATTTAAAAGGAAGTCAGCATTGGAGACAGTAGCTGCGAATATTAAGTTTCTCCTCATGACTAGGATTTATAAATCCCTGTAAGTTCAATTTTTTTATTTTTGGTCAAAATCATGAAAATTTCATGTGATAATGTTTGGCAGTTGTATCTCCAATATGACCACCAGAGTGCTTTGATTGGCTGAGATTAGCACTACATCATTGAATTATTTTTCCACATCATTAGAGTGTCTGGTCAGCAATATAGGTCCCTCGGTCACTTGTTTTTAGATTTTTGATGAGATTTAAAAGAAAA